CAACTCCACATATCAATGGACACGTCTGAAATCGACAGGTGGACCGAGGATCAAACGACCCCGAACAGGTAATTCGCTAACCCGAAGAAAGCCAAAAAATGTGAGAGAACAGGCTGCCCAAAACGTGCTATGATCATACGAGTCCGCAGAAAGAGCTGCCTGAATAGCAGCACGACAGGCGTCGACAGCCTGTTGAATTTCCATAGTGTTTTTTCAGACACCCTGTATACCTTTGGGAATTTAATTGAATTGTACATGAATGGCTGAATATTTACAACTTCCTGATCATCCAAATAATCTAACAAGGCAGTTGTGTGTATGTTACACATAGGGGTAGGGGTATAAACCTTATCTTACACTGATATAGGGGTGAACACCTTATGTTACACTGATATGGGGGTGAACACTTTATGTTACATATAGGGGCAGGCGTAAAAACCTAATTTTACACTGACATAATCATTAAGGGTGAAAATCGTGTGTTGGGGCAGGGGGTTATAGGGGCAGGGGGGTTATAAACCTAATTTTACACTGATATAGTGGTGGACACCTTACGTTACGTGATTGGAAACCTTGTTTTGTTTAGAAAAGAGATATTAACATGAGATATTAACAACAAGCTCACTGTGAGGTTTTAGTAAAACCTGCGATGCTCATGGTTGATCCGTGAGAGTTGGCAACTATGCCCTATATACATGTATCGTAGTTTATATATTCTTTACTATTTATTGAGTCAACGACTGTTCCAATGTACATGTTTATGTTGAAATCAGTTTAATAAATGGTGTTGTGTTGGAGTTTACTACAGTTCTACTGATTTTTTATCCGTAGGTTTTATGGTCATACGGCGTCATGCGGGGCAGGTATTTATATTGCACAAAAATATCTGACCCCCCCTTTTTCCACCAGCCCCCCTCGCCTGTAATTAATGACTGGTCTCTAATTGAATATCATACAAGTACGTTTTCCAGCACTTTTTAATGGTTCCGTAAGTATTTTGATATAGTTTTAATGCTTATTTCTATATACTTTTGAGTGATGCTTAGAACTTGTAGACAACGATCAGTATCTTACTAAGATCAGTATTATATACCTGCATGTTCTAAGTTTTGTCGTGAGAATATAAGTACCTATTGTTGTGTGTGAAATTAATGTAATATTCTACAAGTAATAAGTAAGCAGCTGTGAACTGCAATACTAACTTCGCGTATATAGTCTCTAATTTAAGTAGTATTTCATATTACTTAAACAGATCTAAAACTACTACATAGGGCCTATCGCTTTATAATTCGATATATTTTACTAACCTTGTGTCACTGTGTGTGATAGAATTTAATTCTTTGGGAGTTTTGTATTCGAAACACATTGGTCAGTTTAAGCAAGCAACTTCACAATTTCCTTTATAAACATAACAAATTTCGAATTGAGAACTCATCGCTTGACTTTTTCATACCACATAACCAGAAAATTTATAAACTCCCTCTAAACTTCTGTTTCAGCGTATATTTAAAAATTCCTTCGGAGATGACTGCACCGAGAATTTTGTATTAAATTGTAAATGTTTGAGCTTCGATTGTAAACAAATATTAAAAGTTGCAATTACCGTATATTGATATAAATCAATATACGGTAATTTCAACTTTAAATATTTGTTTACAATCGAAGCTCAAACATTGAAACAACTGAACTTGCGAACTTCGTTGCAAAGAAGACAGAAGTAAGCTGAATAGAAAAATTACTTTGCTGTAAAAAAGGCGTGTCCCACATGTTTGTTGGTGGATTCCCAGCCTGACACGCAGGCTAGCTGGTGCCCTGATGTGTTATTTAATAGCGTGCAAGATAACACTTTGGTGGTTTTCGTTGTATACATTTACAGAAACACTTGTGGTAGCCTTTGGGAGAAATTACAATAACATGGGCATATAATATGGGCTCGTTTTCCCAGAGATTATTATTTTATTATTGAAACGTTTCACCAGGGGCGTAGCGTAGCGTGTGTGTGTGGGGAAGTGGGGGTGTAGGGGGTGTGACACCATGTCAAGGCCAAGATTTGAAGTCAAAAATTGCACACTAGCAGTACGTTTTAGAGTTTGAACTTGGAAGATTTTTATAAAAATGCTTCTTTTAACCATAAATGTCATTTTGTTTTTTAATGAAAGAAAAACATAGAAAGATTTACAATATAATTGTTTTTGTTTGTGGAAATACCACGTAAATTTATTACTGCAGTAATAAATTTATGTGGTGTTTCCACAAACAAAAACAATTATATTTTATCGCCATGCAAACATTCAAAGAACTTATTAGATTTACAATAGTTCGAAATTTGTGTGATTTGTCAATATTTTACTTTGTCTTTGAAAACGACATATATTTATATTAGATTGCTGTTTATGCGAAAATGTATCCACGCAAAGAGCGAGATTTCACCTCAGTTTCCTATGATCAAAAGTGTATTGAGCCACCTTAAAGACAACAGTTTTACAGCATGAGCACTCCAACACGAGTACTAAAGTTTGACCCACTTTAATAGAGGCCACTGAAACTTGCTAAACTATAAAAACAAAGTTTAGTCTGAACGTAGCCCTGTTGTTTTAAATGTCAGAAACTATTATTAGCTCATGACTCCATGTACAGACGTCTAATCCAACGTTAATATATCATATACGAATTTGAATCCCCACATTTTACAAACATATTTTTCAGACCGTAAAGCGATATGTGCCTCAATTAATTAATTGTTTTCTTTAAATTATTCTTAAAAGTAATGATAATGAACTGTATGAATAGCAGATATTTAGCTCCAGATAAAAAGAAACATTTTTATACGACTGTTATTGCATTCGGGATATAAATGGTGGTACTCAACCTCTTTAATTTAGAAGTCACTGGTTAAATGTAAATATTATATATGAAGCAGACATATAATTTCAAATAGCACAATTTAGCACAATTGCTGTAAAAATGTAATTCTGTGAATGCAACATCAATGCAGTAAAGGCCTGATTCCGCGAGTGCTTTTTGTCAGCGAAATGCAAAACATTTCTACTTACTGAGAAAGCGGAAAGTGGGAAAATTCAATATAATCGCTCAATCATGTGCAACCATCCATATTTCGCAAACACAATTTCTTGCGACGAATTTAGCCGTCGTGGAATCAGGCCTTAAATGCACAGATACATGTACGCCTCGCGTACCTATTTTTCTGTTTGCCGATTGGTCAAAACCATATTACGTGCCACGGTGCCGGTCCACAAAACGTCATGTTCACTGCAGGCTTTGGCGAGGAGGCGGTTGGCCAGCAACGAAACATTGATTGACCGGTCAACAAAATTAATATCACTCCAATAACCAGTGAATTATTCATACTTTGACATTTGTATACTATATAACAAAACACTTATTTACTGAGACCTTGGGAAAGTAGTGTGTCTTGTTGGCTACTTGACCACAAATCTCGGATCCACAAAACACAGTTTCCCTCGGTATCAGTAAATAAGTGACAAATATATTTCGTTATATATATTAATAAGTAATTTCATTCATCCTCGTTCCCAGGGCTTCTTGAGAAGCCCTGGGAGAAGATTTTACAACTAGTACCAGTCCCCTGCTGCGATTTCAGATCACCTGGAATAAACTATCTCAAATACATTAATAATTCATGAGCAATTTAGCCAACCATATCGCTTTATGTTCCTCACATGATAACACTGGATACCTGGTGAAGTATATACTGATCCAGTCCTAGAACTGCATCAAAATTAATTCAGTGTCCTTAGACTGGATCAAAATTAATTCACCTCATTTTAAGTATTGATTTATTCGTATGAGATGTCATTTCAAGTCCTCCAATTTGGACTGGACTGGATTTCAAGTTCTCGCATTTTGATCCAGTCCAGATCCATTTTGATCCAATCTAGTCCAGTCCGCATAGTCGGATTTGAAATATTACGTAAAATAGTTAAAATGTTTAAGTTAATACAAAAATACAATTTGATCTACAGTAGGGTATGAACAATAATTGTAGCCGGATAAAAAATACTTACTGAAATGCAAAGGATTTGACATTTAGATCAGCGGGATATGACTGCTGAAGCAAGTCGTAGCAATCTCGATTTCCAGCACAGGTTACATATTGTAAACTTTCTTGGACAGTAAAACAAGACATACCAAACAGCACAAGTGCAAACGGACTCGACGTCCCATGCGAGGCACTCTACCTAGTTTACAAATTAATTAAATTACAAAATTACTGTTAGGATTACACTATACTACAACCAAAATAAACATATGTCAATTGTTTGAAGCTCAGACATATTTATATGGTTAGTTTAATAAGTGAATATTACAGCCAAAACTACATTATACCTAGAATATCCGAAAACAATTACAGAAATAACTCTCAAGCAACAAGCATATGTTTACTTTAGAAACTATTAATTAAGATCTATGACACAAACAACTATGACGTAAAGACCAGGTACATGACATATCTACATTAAAACAACATTGGCATATCTACATTAGGTTTCGGTGCCTGTAAATATTAACTGTATTAACATTCATCATATGAGATAGATTTTGTTCACGTTTCTGTATATGATCCTCAAACAACTGTTTCAAGTACAGATAATAAGCATGACAAGTTGCCATGCCCAGCATTAGAGTATCACGTGTCATCCATACCTGGACCGATCTCATTGCCTTTTTGCACGAAAGTGGAGTGGCCTCCCTCCAGCATGTTAATCCGATAGCATAATCCTTCCTGATGCTGTTTAGCCAAATGAATAGGGTAAGTTAATAAAATTGCCACATGAGACTGTCAGCCATTTGAAATAAGAGTGTTTAGCCTCATAGTGCATGCACCAAATTCTGATCAATGGTCCCAAACTGAAATTAACAAAAAAGGCTGTACTTTTCAATTTCAAATGGTTCACTTTCTGTACAAAACTATTTTACTAACCGAAACATACTATTAAATGCAAGCATTGTTTGCTTACCGTAACATTATCCTTGGCATGCGAATCATGTAATACATTTTTGGTATGATGGAGGCCTGCAGATGCAAGGCTTTGAAACTGTCGTGCTGATTCTGGATGAGCACTTGGAGATAAGGCATCTGCAGCTTGCTTACCAATGGTGAGAAGACAATACGTACGATTTCTAGTAGTGTGCAATACACAGTCCAGTGGTCATCATCTTTGGTGATGAATTCGCCAATCAGGAGCAGCAAAAACAAGCCTAAGCACCACATCTCATTTGCTATAACGTAAATAATGCCATGCAGTTTCTCCAATCATTTTAAAATTATGAACATTCTGACTATTTTTATTTTATATGTGAGTTTTATCACTGCCTGTGTGGGTGGGGTAATGTATGTGAGCAGGGTAATGCATGTGAGCAGGGCGCTTATCATATACAGCTAATTCAGTTATGCAGGTTGTCCTCTTGGAAGGTCAAAACTGCAAAGCTTTGACTAACCAAGCCCGAAAGGAACCCTGGACTTGTAGAAGTTATAGCAAGAAGTAATAGAGGGTATTGTGCGATCAAGCAGAGTCATTATATAAACCATTGTATCTTTGAAACGTCAGCATTCACTCCGGGACACATGCGCCTAGTGTTGCCCGCTTACTAAATTCTCGATCTATTCCATAATTCAAGTATTAAAACAGTAGAAAGCACAATTTATTTCGTAAAACAATGTGAACATTAATAACAACGTGGTTGATTAATTGCCATCTTGAAAATCTGTTTGTCTGTCCTTTCTCGTTACTATGGTAACTGTCACAACTGCATGATGCAATAGTTCCTATTTAACTGTTAAATGACGTATTGCTAATGGGCATCATACACTCACCCCTCCTATAATTTATGCTGTCTCATTATCTTTTATATAGCCCAACATTTAACACTATAGTCTGTACTCATCTTGGCTACTTCTTGGTCAACTGTGTGAGTTGATCATACTCACAAATATTGAACCTAGACAGTGATCTAAACTTAATCTTTTCGGGTGCCGCTTTCACTTCTTGTTAGTTAGGAACTTTTCCTGGAAATTTAACTCTTGTAAAGTTTTATTGTTTGTGTTTTCTAACAGTCATTATTCGCAACATAATGGCAATTTCAACAATCATCGTTTTCCGATTTCGTGACTTTTCATATCAGTGTCTAACACCATATATTTGATGGCATAATTGGTCCTTGCCAACTTGACCAATATAATGGAAATACAGGTAATGACATAGGAAGTATTGGGGGAAAGAACGGTATTGGAGGTGTCGAGAGCACAGGGTATTGGTGTAGATACATGTTGTTTGTGGCAGGTGCATGTACCGCATTAATACTGGTCCAATGTTCCGTTGGTTGGCCCAAATTGCCATATCCCAGTCTGGTTGGTGGTCGTCATACTCGTTGTGAACTAACTGGTGTGAATCAACTTGTGCCTCAGCCTCCGCTGCTACCATGGTACCAGTCGCAGCTTGACTCTCTTGAGCTGGTTCTTCTTCAGCCATAATCGCCAGCAAATCACCAGAAACAAAGATCAAAATACGAAAATCAAGAATTTAGAGAAGTGTAAAAATCATACTTTTTCCTTCGCATTCACAGCTTATTTTATGTATAAAAGTCTCGGTGGGATCTCCAATTTGTTGCCCGCTTACTAAATTCTCGATCTATTCCATAATTCAAGTATTAAAACAGTAGAAAGCACAATTTATTTTGTAAAACAATGAGAACATTAATAACAACGTGGTTGATTAATTGCCATCTTGAAAATCTGTTTGTTTGTCCTTTCTCATTACTATGGTAACTGTCACAACTGCATGATGGAATAGTTCCTATTTTACTAATGTTACATGATGTATTGCTAATGGGCATCCTACACTAGCATCCTCCACATCCTCTAAATTTTCAAATATCATGCCGACAAGATTGTCGGCTGATGAATAAAATTCAGCCACAGAACAGGAAATTTTAAGTTTTTGATGGCATCATTTGATGAATTTACATCTTGAGTACGACTCTTATTAAATGTGGTCAGTAAATAGTGCAGAATGTATTTGGAAAAATCAGTGAAATTTTCTACTGCATAAGACCTTCTGACCAAGGATTGCAGTTAGCTTCAGACACTTGCAGGTAGTGCCGCTACCTAGGATTCCAACATCTCACAGGCATGTTATACATTCATGTTTAATCAAGAGCTTTTATGTTGCTGGAGATGGATCTATAATAGGAGACGATACTGTATTTCAAGTTGTATCTAATCTTACCATGTTGTTTGAGGCTGTTAGCATAAAAGATGAGTTTCGTCCTCAAAATTGGTGCAGGTTTGTTAGAATCATTGCAGTACCTGAAATGTTGTATACAGGGATTTTAAGTCCGATTTTAAGTTTACAGTTGCCAAATTGCAAAAATAGGTCAAAGACTGTCTGAGTGCATGGCAAAATCAAAAACACATTGCCTGCTAACCTGACATTTCATTTGGCAACGTCACTCTCGACCAGACTACGACTCTCTACCAACCCTAATCCTAACCCTAACCAATCTTAACTCCTCACCCTAGCACGAAGAAATAACCAAATTTTGCACACCTTGTAAACTACCCTGACAGCAGAGCCGGATTTCCCCTCACGTAGAAAATATATAAGGCTCTGCCGTTTCCAATATTATGTCAAAACATGTCAAAGATCACTTGTATTTTTAGAATGATTGCTAAATTTAGAGAACCAACCACATGCACTGATCGCTACATGCTGGGCGTGTGCAACTGCATGTGCTGTACAATTACGACAATATAAACAATACAAAAACATTTTCAAATCGATAGCTTTGTCGCTTGTCAGTTGTGAAATCAAACTATTACTATATTTTTACAATTGCTAACTTACTAGTTTATTTTATCCTACGTTACTTCTCAGTATATTTAAGTTATTGTCAGCCAAATTTCTGTTATAAAGTATAAAGTTTAAAAATTTTTAAATATATAGCGGGCTCAAATTGTAGTCATCGGCTTACATGCAAAACAAAGGTGCACGCATTCAATACCGGTTAGAACTGGTTTATTACTGGTTTGTCCGGTTTACTTCATCCATAATTTTGGACGAACAAAAACACAAAAACGGCAGTCTTATTTTCTATGCGAGGGGAAATCAGGCTCTGCTCTCAGGGTACTTGTGAACAAGTCTGCAAGCTAGTAGCCTTGTTGTAAACACCATGCATGTTTTTTGGGATAGGAAATGTACATTTTGCTACAGTATTTGCAGTTGACATGCAGGTTCCAATTAAAAAGCCAATCAGCACAAATTTATTTTAGGCAATTAATTGACTAAACCCAAACAACGTCAAAAAGGTGTGCGCCGCGTTTGATTGCAAATGGCAGCAATTAATTGCTCCAATTTTTGTGTGAACTCAATTATATGCCCAAGGTCTACATGGCACTGGCTAGTAAGCATTCTAAATCAATAATACAGTATCTCAAAAATGTTGTACTGTACCCTCTGTATTATCCTTTTACTCTAAGGGACGGACCATTTGATTTTTGATGGGGGAGGGATGCAAATCCGGAAAAAATATCAATGAGGACAGAAAAAAAATCGTGTACTTCTAAAAGGCACCTCCCCCCATCAAAAATCAAGTGGTCCATCCCTAAATCCAGATGATTTTACTTGTCAAGTGAGAGTCTCAGGTTAATGATTGGATTGTGTCAAAATCATTTTATACTAAGTATTTTTACATTGTACATACCCGTAATCAAAGGAATCGATTCTCTTATTAAGTTCATCCAAAGAAAATGCTTTCTGTTCTAGAATGTAGAACTTCAATATCTCCTTGGTATGATACTGCAGCACACCTTCTAAAGACATGCATCAGCTGGCAATCCACCAACAACATGGTAAAATCTGGAGTTGTTTAGCTCAGACCTCCTATTTAAGCCATATGTTACACTGAAGTGATCTGATTGCTGAATGCATTGGCATTGAATCTCATAGCCATCCCTTGTTCAAAGGGTGAAGTCAGCTTCATGGAACTAAAGTAATACAATTGACATTACTGTGATCAGGTCAGTGACTTAAATATGATATCTCCCCAATAATATTTAAACCCCACCCCACCTGGATTCGGCTGCATTTGGATGCATTACAAATCAAATGCAAGTGAAAACAAACAACATCTTTACTTTACTAGTGGACGTTTTACAAAAAACTGTTTTAAAAAACTGGGGGAGTCCTGGCCATTGAACCATAGAATAAAGATCCATATAGAAGGGCCACTTACGTCGGAAGCTTTGAAGTTTCTGTCCTCGCGCATTACGCATGTTGGCCGCCATTTTCCTAGCCAGTCAATGACATTTTCTGGCCAGTAAACACACTGTACTGGCTGGCCAGTAAACTGCATATTTTTGCATAAAAAAACGAGGACATGTTGCACCGCTGAGTGGCCCTTCTGTTACTGATCTTTCTTCTGTGATTGAACTATAAATAACCGGAAGGCTAACTCCTATGATGAAGGTCTATGATTCGTTGAAGCCGACGCACAGGAAAATCAGCTTTCAAAAGGACTACGGAGAGTTTTGAGGAGTGAAAAAACCTCAGTCAAAAGTTTGTTTTCAAGCAACAATTTGCAAGAAAAACACTTTTTCCATTGGAATACTACAATGATTGGGATTCAAACCAGGTTTTCCGATTAGTTCCGACTCTTTTACATCTCTCTGCAACAAAAAGTGAGGAGTTTTGCTTTTGTATTTTGAAAAAATGATGAAAGTTTGGACGTGCCGAAGGAAACCTCGCTCTTCAACTAAAAAATTTTGACAGTCCCAAAACTTTAATATGTTGTACTAAACCCCAGGTATTGTTATTGATCCTGAGCTTTTAGTCCTTGTTTTTTATTCCTTCTAAAACATAAATAAATTGGCGTTTTTCAAGTGATATTATTTTCGTCATCGCTCTTCTTGTTGGCCATTATGAGCACTTTAATATGGCAATATTTTTGTCAATTTCTAAATGCTTTTTTTTTTCAACCCTAAAATGTTCAATCTTCTTGAAAGCTGATCAAAAAACCGTTTTGTTTTGCGATTCCTCTTGTTCTAAAACGTTACATATGAACTCCAGAACTGGGCTAATGCTGTCGCAGTTAAAAGAACTGAGTTCCAAGAACTTCTTAAGATCACAAGTTCCGACAATGCACAGTTTAAAAGCCTTGATGCAACGGACAGATCAATCTTTTACGACTGCAACTCTTTTGAAGCGCTGTTGATCATTTGCAAAACTCTCCCACATAACGATAAATATAACAAATTCGAGTTTATCTATTTTGTTTTTCAATTGTTTTGCATCTTCTCTTTTTGCTATATTAGTAGATGTTAAAGACAACCGTGTTAATACTTGCATGCCAGCATGAATACCACTCATTACGCTTGCGCCATCATACCCTTGTCCATGTATTTTTGAAAAGTTAATACCAAGACTTTGCAGAAACGCCTTTGTGGTTGATACTATTCCATTTGCCATTGCATCATCTAATTTTACAAAACCCAAGAAGTTTTCTTCAATACTGCACTTGTCCCCGTCTATCTGGACCCGCCGTATTATAACGCTTAATTGATCAATTCTAGTTATATCCCTAGTAGAATCTAAAATGAGAGCACAAAATGGCGAAGCATTGATCTTGTGAACCAAAGAAAATGTGACTGTTTTTGCTAGAAGTTCTATTAACTCATTTTGAATTTTTGGGCTAAGATACTTTGTTGCATGGACGGGAAGTGAGATAACTTTTGCAACAATCTCGTCGTACTGAGCCATCAGATATACCATACCAAGAAAGTTTCCACCTTCACAAATGTTATCATGAACGTACTCGTTGTGACCTCTAAATACCAAAGTTAGCATGGAAAGAGTCAAAATTATTGTTATGATTCGGTCAAGAACTTTAACCCAGAAGAGAGCATTGTTTCTGATTTCTTTCTCATTATCTTCATCCATCTCCTATAGACTGCAGTTGCCTGAATATGCATGTTGCAAGCTTTGTGCCTCTTAATTTTTTCAAGCATATTATGCAAGTTACCAGATACACCATTTATCCATCTTCTATGATTTTCATAATTTGGTGATGCACGATCAGCAAACAACCAACAAACTTCACAATAAGGTTTTTGCAGTTCCATTGAATAGCATAACCAAAGTCTTTGTATTGACATATTATCAATATAGTATCTGGCACTGAAATTAACTATTGAATTCCCTTCCTCATCTTCATATTCAAAGGGTCCTGTCGGTCTGCATGACTCGTGATGCATAACCAGTATTTTCAAATCACAATCTGTTATGTTTTCCTTAACATGACCACAGTCGGTTGGGAACTTTCTTGTCGTATCAAACACCAGATCTTTATTTTTATCCAACTTTGCTTCTGAAGTAGAACTGGAAAGTTTCAAGGGAGTGAAGTTTTCGTCCTCACCACCAGTAACACCATGATTGGACTCAGGGCAAATAGAGGAATTTATATCTTTTTCGGCACTGTCAAAAAAGGAATCGTCTTCAACTTTAGCGATGCTACTGCTAGTAGATGTGGGGTCTTCATTATTGTCGACATCTTTCATTTGAAGAAATGTTGATATGCAACTTGTATTTGATAAAGAACTCTCCGTTTTTTTCTTTTTTCGGCTCTCTTTTGTGCCTCAGATTTGTACTTTCGCTTTCCAGCCATCATGGCCAACATTTTGTTTTGTATTTTTAATTTGGACGTACTTCATGTAATAACTAATAATTACTTTTGTTTTATTTGAGATAAAATAAAATGTCAGTTGTCACTGTGGATGTTTATTTATTGTAATACTGTATAACCGCATTAATCTAAATCATGACCGTATTAATCTAAATTTGGTGGGGGCCCCTCTGGGCCCCCTAACAGTCGGGGGAGGGGGGGCTTAGTTATTGCCCTAACCCTACCCTATGTGCGTTACGCCACTGAGAAAGAATAAAAAAAATCAACCTATTCTTATTTCAAGAAGGAAATTACTTAAAATAAGAGTAGAGTGAAAATATTCTTATATCGAGAATTCTTACGAAGAAAATTCTACTTGTTGTAAGTAATGAATTACTTAGAATGAGTAACTAGGAAAATTCGTCTGGATAAGAATTTTTAATTTCTGAAAAGAAGTAAAAAGTTCTTAACTCAATTCTTATTTCAAGTAACAATGTACTTTAAATAAGAATAAAGTTATCAGCCGAAATAGAATATCAGCCTGTGTACGTAACACAAAAGCTTCTTCAAGAAATTCCTGTTGCATATTTAAAAATAAACCGTAACAGGTTCTACATTTGTGTATAGAAAATCCTACACCTTCCTTATACCCACCCCACAAATGTTGTCCCAAAGTATCTCCAGCGCATACCAATACTTCGCCAAACACAATTTTTTCAATTCCATTTACTGTCATGATACTACCACCATGAACGATGTTGATGTCCTTAATTATTGGTTCTAGGATACGTTCAATACCATACGTCTTAACATACTTGGCATTGACAATTGCAAGGAGGCGAACTGTGGCTAGCTTTGACCAATACTTAGGACCAAAATTTGCTAACATATAGTAATACATGTCTACATTGTGAATACCAGCTTTGCTCCCAAGCAGATTACAAATTTCCAGCTCATCATGGTAAAGAATTATCACTAGTGTATCAGGATGTTCCTTAAAGTAATTATCATTTTGAAAAGTGGAACCATTGCAAATGTCGTATTATTATGAAATACTTTATTAGCATGACCATAATTTACAAGGTATTGCTAAAGTAACTACTCTAATTATAACTATATAGGATAACAAAATATTTATATAAGAGAGAGAAAATAGTAGTGTATATAACAATAAAGTTATGACTACCGTGTAGTTCATAGAGTCTTTTTTTTCAATATTAGATTAAATGAAGTATAGTAATTCATAGATGAATATTAGTATATTAATATATTTAGTTATAGTAAAATTACAGTGAATCAAGGGCACTTGTCTCTGACCGAAAAACATTTCGATATGAAATTTGAAAAAAGAATTGTTAATACTTGGTCATTGTTGCACATCACGTGAGTCAACAAATCTTCTTTTGATTTTGTTGTTAATTGCATTTGAAAAATATTCTTTAAAATATTGTTAGTATTGTTCCTTAGATTGTCGTATTTATGACATTCAAAGGCAAAGTGAAATTCGTCTTCAACTGAACCACTGTGACAGTGTTTACAAAATCTTTCTTCACGTGGTATTTGTTGGTACCGACCATATTCGATCAGTAATTTGTGATTACTGATTCGAAATTTTGTGTAAATTCGTCTTTTGGATGGGTCTTTTATTATACTTAAGTAGTCTTCTAATTTATAATTTTTCTTAAATCTGCTGTAAAATGAAAGTTTTGAGGAGTTGTTAATTTGTTGTTTCCATTCTGAGACGTAGTTGTTCTGAATTATATCGATTATAACATTTATTTTTGTATCGGTTATAAATTTTTCTAGATCTACTGGTTCAATTAGATTGGGAAAGTGTTTTTTCAGGAAATTTACAACGTTCGAGTAAAAAGAATCTTTGCCTTTCAAATATAGTTCTTTCGAGCTACGAAATGCTAGTTTTGCTATCGATGAGTCTGGTAGTTTAGATATATTAATAATATAACTTAGTGTTCTTTTAATTATGGGCAATAGCAATGGGAATTTTCCAAGTTCCCCTCGGCTTGCAACGTTGCTGGCTTTCCTATTTACTCCTAGGTAGAGTTTGCAAAATTTTAGATGGGCTTTTTCTGTCCAAGTTTTATCCCATTTTGTAAAGTCTCCGATTGTGTATGCCCCCCATACCTCGGAGTTATATACTAATATCGGAGAGATTACACTGTCGAAGATTTTGCAAGCTAGTTTTGGTGGTAGTTGGTGCAAATCAATCTGTTTGCGTATTTTGTACAGAACATGTATTGCTTTTTCGCTCAGTTGTTGGCTGGCAATATCAAATTTTGTGTTGGGCATTAATTTTAAACCTAGGTACGTATATTCATTAGTCATGGAGATTGGATTTTTTCCAATGTTAAATTGAATGTTTTTTGGTTTAGATTTATGTTTTTGCAGAATCATGACTTTCGTTTTTTTGAGGTTGACTTCCAATAGCCATTTTTCGCTCCAGTTGTGAAGCGTATCTAGGCAGTTTTGGAGACCGGTTTTTGATCGTGACAATATTACTAAATCATCAGCATAGAGAAGGCTGCTTATTGTAGTGCTATTTGGTAGTATGAAGGGATCAGAAATTGTTTCTTCGAATAATTTTGGTAGTTCATTAATATATAAGTTGAATAGTAATGGACTTAAAACACAACCCTGACGAACTCCCTTGCGGTAAGGGAAGGACGTTCTACGATCTGATATCTTCACTGCACACCTAGTGTTAGTGTACAGATCTTTTATCAGATCGTAGAATCGTCCTCCTATTTTGTTTTCTAGTAGTTTTAAGAAAAGGCCATCATGCCAGATAGAATCAAACGCTTTTTTGAAGTCCACGAAGCAAGCATATATTTTTTCATTACTGTGTTGTTTTACGTATTTGTCGTGAATCGTTTTTAACGTTAATATGTGATCGGCTGTTCGATTGCCAGGCATAAAGCCTATTTGCGAGTGATGAATCATCTTTTCTTGCTCTGTATAGTTCATTAGTCTATCATTTAGAGTTAGACAGAAAAATTTTCCTAGAGAACTTGACACACAGATTCCTCTGTAGTTATTTGGATCTAATTTATTACCTGATTTATAGATTGAGGTAATAAGACCTTCACACCATAATTCCGGAAACTTTCCAGAATTTAAAATTATGTTGAATAGTTTAACAAATCCTTGTGTTAGAATATCTGCACCAGACTTAATCATTTTATTTTGTCTGAGTATGCAGCTTTTTTCAATTTTAATTTCAATGCTGTTTTTATTATTTCTTGTTCAGTTATTTCTGTGTCAAGTGTATTATGTTGATCTCGAAGTTTCTCTTGGTTTTGAAGATTTTCTTTAGTTAGTTTGTGCTTGCAGTGCAATTTGGAAAAATGATTGAACCAATCATCCCCTTTTGGGGTGTTGTCGGAATTAGCATTGTTTATTTCATCGGAAGCGTTTCGGAAAGTTTTCCAGAACGAATTAGGATTGTCTTCAGCAGCCTTTTCTAGTTCAATTAGCATGTCGTTTTGAAATTTAGTTCTTTTTCTTTCTAAAGTTTCTTTGTAGGTTTTGAGAGCAGTATGGTAGGCTTCTCTTATAGCCAAATTTGTTGGGTCTCTATGTTTTTGATTTGCAATTTTACGTAATTCATGTCTTTTTAAATCGACATTCCTTATCAAACCATTTTTTGTTTGCTACGTTGTTTATTTTTCTTCTAGTTTTCTTTTTTCTTATTTTCAAAGATTTTTTGCTGTGTGAGTTATAATATTTTGGAATTCAGTCACACATTCATTAACTCGATCCATTTTCGTCATTAGTGAATGTGGACTGCAGAAACTGATCAAGTTTTCTTTGTATTTCAGGTGATTTTAGAGTTTGTCTGAAATTTCAAATTGAAGTGGTAGTTTATGTAAAGGGTTTGTTCAGGCTTGGACCGGTTTTTTTTTCACTGTCAAGTAAAGTTTTTTCAATATCAATCCATTAACTATTTGACTGTGGTCCGATAAATAGGTTGGTGGCTTTACAACAAAATAGTTAACATTTTGAAATGTTTCTTGATCGCATATTATATAGTCAACAGTACTTATACCATTGTTTCCATGAAATGTGGGTCTACCTAGAGAATCGCCTTTGGTTCTTCCATTTAGGATTCTCATGTCAGTATTTTTGCATATGTTGATAAGTTGTAAACCATGGTTGTTTATAGTATTATCAAAGTTGAGTCTGTTTTTTGGTTGTAGACTATCATCGCTTAAATCATTAGTATAGTTATTTCCATCCTTGGAAACAAAATCGTTATGTGTACTTGTTCTTCCATTAAAATCGCCTAATAATATTGTATTACCTTTTGAGAGAAAATTAATTACATCATTTTCTAATTCATCAAAAATTTCTTGA